ATGATGTCGTACCATTTTATTTGAGAGTAAAAGCACAAAGAGTGATGTCGTGCCACTTCATTTGAGAGTAAAAGCACGAACGGTGATGTCATGCCTTTTCATTTATATTATCCTAATCTCATTTACATTATCATGTGAGGATGAGAGTAAAAGCACGAAGGGTGATGCCGTGCCATTTCATTTATATCATCATGCTTTTATATTATCACGAGTTCATGGAACGAATGGTGTTTCCGTGCAGGCAAGGACGAGGGACATGCATTATGTTGTGATATCTTTTCCTTGTGTATACGTTCATGCCTTTACCTTGAGCTATTATTGTCGCACCTATGTTTCTTATGTGACTTGTCGTTGTTGTTCTGTCTTTGTTCTCTATCTCAATTGTTGTTGTGTTGCCCATGCCTTCTACTTGTTTAACTTGCAATACCATGCATCTTTCCTACTGTTATATTTATAACCATGTTGTATCTAGTTTGTTGCACTTTAGTATAAGCTTTCTACCATGTTAGTCATTTATGCCTCTGTTTGTTAGCTTATAAAGATCATGCGTTCACCTCTTATTTGTTATATCTACATCTATGCCTTTTACCATGCTAGTTAGGTGAAATTATGTTATTCTTTCCTAATTGATGTCATTATTCCTATGTTTCCTAACTTGTCATTACTATTATCGGGATTCCTTTCACCTGGTTGGTACTGTTACACCTATATTTAGTGAGGATGAGATAAATGCACGAATGGCATTGTTGTGCCGTTGGATTTGATGTCTTGAGTATATTTCTCACACTATGAAAGTTATGGATTTATTACTGTGATTTGCTAGTTCTCGCTCTAAGGAAAGGATTAGTCGTGATATTGAGGAATATTAATCGTGGTTCTTCTAGAAATTATTTACTGCTTCGCATAATTATTTCTGTGTACGCTATTCTGTTATATTCTAGTATTGTTCTATTGCCGGTCTTCTGTGCAGATTATATCAATGAGTATCTTTTAACTAAAAAAATCTCGTCACAACTTCACCGAGGTTAGTCAAGATACTTACTGAGTACATGGGGTTGGTTGTACTCATACTACACTTATGCACCTTGCGTGCAGATTTTGGAGCGGAGTTGCGGGTGATGTCGGAGCTGACTCTGAAGATGTTTGTTCCTTCCGGATGTGGCTACCACTTGTCCCTCGGTAGTTCTGGAGTTGAATTCTGTTTTAGTACATTTCAAACAGAAGTTGAATTTATTTCATATCCATTTTTACAATAATCTAGTGTTAGTAGCTCATGTGTTGTACTACCAGTCCTTGGGATGTTGTTTGGAATGCAGATACATCAATTGTTGATCACATTTATTTTATTAGAATTGTGTTAACTGTTAATTGACTGACCTAACAAGTCGGATTAGGTGTCATCACGACCTGTGAATTTTGGGTCGTGACAGAATAAGATTCTTTGGTGGCTACGAATATGAAATTACAATACAGCCGAGCCCAAACCTTAAGAACAAAAATGGAAATCCTCTTGACTTTAGCAAATCCTCCCGTGTTTGTCTTTGATTTAACGGGACTCCAATGAGGAACTTTGAACCGGGTCAAAATCTTGACACCATGGATTCCACATACATATAAAATACTTGGAGAAAACATCCAAATTTATTCATCTACTCTGCTTTTGGTTTTACAATTATTATATGTTATATTTCGGGTAAAAATACATCCTCTACTACATATCGGGAAAGCATTGGTTAGCTTGATAGTGTACTGTACCTGTTTGGTTGTCGTGTAAAGCATTACAAGCTAAGCTACTACATTGTGTAGTATGTTTGATCTGTATTAGTTTTCTTTCCTTTATTTGCCCGTGTCAAATTTAATTGCTGAGTGGAAAAAAGAATTTAATTGCTAACGTTTTTTCATATATTTGAGACTATTGATTGATTCACATTTCACACGGGGGAACCATCTCTACGTTACTGACTTAAAAAGATTGAAAGCGAGTCAAATTTGGGCTCCAATAGCAATCATGAACAAGTGATTCCATAGCAAATTAAAGCTTATTCTCAATTCTAGCAAATAAAGCAATGAGCATCACTTCCATCAAACACTGGATTAATTAGTTAATACAATTTCTGGATTATCAGAATGCTTGTGTTTTTAAAGCCATAAATCAAATTTTTTGACGAAAAGCTCGGATCCTATCCAGCAACAGAATGATGATAATGACGCTAAGGTAAAACCTTATTATCTGAACTACTTAAATGAATTGCATGAATTTGATTGTCAAAACTTCAGAACTCAAATTCAATCATTCCGATTATTGAATCACAAGCAAAAACCAAAGAGAGAAGAAGACGATAACCAGCACATATGAATCACAATCATACTATGATCGATGCATCGACAGGCTCCATAGGACCAGATACCATTTTAAAATGCCACAAGATTGCAATCAAAAGTAAATAATGGTGGGACAAAAAGAGAAATGAGTAACTGTTTTCTTCATTCTCCCGATACGTCGTGTACAACCATCATCATGTATATACAAGGCAAAATGCTACTAGCCAACTTGGCTACACATTGCAAGCACTCAACTCTTCATATAAACTTGTTGAAAAATAAAAAAGAAACTCCTCCATACCAACTTACACTAACTAATATATAAGCTTACAAGTAGCAAGCACTCAACTCATCTACACAGGCTTACACTAACTAACTTGAGCAGGCACAAGTCCTAACTAATTTCAAACAAATGATTTTTGCATAAACTTCAGCTGCTACCATCATTCGCTTTCCTTATGCATGAGTATGTGAGCTCCATCGGATACATTTGCCTCCACGTTAGCTTGCATGAGGATGAAAGATGTTTAACAGGTGTACAGAGCATTGTTATGTTTTTGAAGTATGCTGATGTGACTATATGCATGCAGTTCCGAAGCTTTATGGTCTTTTCTGATGATGCAGCAGAAGCTGCTAGATATGGTATCAAGGCTGCAGATAGGAAAGGTTTCTTGGTTTTGGCTATTCCTTCAATAGGAGAAGAAACCAAGGGTCTAGGAAGAGTTAAACAACGATCGACTCAGAGCATTTTGTTGGAAGGATGATACCAAAGTACCACACAGTCGGCTGATTCCACCTGGGCACGTAGATAGTCCACTTGAATATGACAACAAATGCAGTTTATGATCAAAAACAGGTTCTTAACAATGTTAAAGACAAGCTGTCTTATTAAAATATTCTGAATTGGTTCGTTGACCTTTTCCATATTCTTTTTTCAATAGGTCAGCATATGATTCCTGGTGACAATGAAGTTGAGGAACAGAACGTAGAGTACGATACAGCCAAGGACAAAATGCAGTAAAATATAGCCAAGCCTGAGCCTTCATGACAAAATGCAAAAGGATAGAATAAAGAAAAGTGAAAACAACAATGGTGTGTACATATACTTTGCGTCCACTTATCAGACGTCTAAAGGGATTTTAGTAGCTTTGGTTAGTTAAAGGATGTAGCATGTTTCTTTGTTTCAAATTTGCCCGTGTCATATTAATTGCTGCTAATTTTCTATTTGTTTAAGACAAAAAGACTTTTTAAGGGGTCGTTTGGTTAGAATACGATTTATACCGGTATAAGTTATGTCGGTATAAGTTATATTGGGATAAGTTATGCTGGGATTAGTTATGCTGGGATTGTTGTTTATTCATTGTTTGGTATGTTGTATTAAGAATGACAATCGTATAATTTCTAAGAAGAAGGTATAAGTTATACCGGTGCTAATTACCCCACCTGGCACCTTCTATAAGGTATAAGTTATCCCAGTGTTAAAATTAACACGGGATAACTTAAACGACCCCTTAAAGAGAACCATCTCTACATGACTGGCTTGAAAAGATGGTAAGTCAGAATGTAGCTTGCCTGCAAATAATAGAGTCAAATATGTAGGAATCTGAACACGTACCTGTATCTCAATGCTTTCAAGGCTGGAAAAGCCTGTTCGAAGGAGAAATAATGTAAAAATATTAAATGCAAAGAGCAACTACAAACAAAAACAAAGATACAAGTAAAACCCTTTCATGCCTTATCTTGCTACTCGAGGAGGCTCTTGTGACGTGTGAGAGCATTCTCTTCTTTCTTGTGCTTACACCCTTTTTTTTTTCCTTTTACTTTCCTTATTTNGACACGAATGACTTCCTAAGACAAAGAGGGCGAGGCCAAATGAAACATCCATTTCTTGGATTACTCCAATATGAGATTGTTTGCAGAGACTCTTCGAATCGTGCCATCTTGCAGAATCGGCATGGAACAATTCCTAGCGACAACGTAATGGCATCAGGGACAGAAGAGACCAATAGTTAACCTCCACGGGAACAAAACAACAACCAAACATATGTAGATGGTATAAGAATCCAGCATTATGTGGTTACATGAAATGATAGATTTATTTCTCTTTATCATATTGAATCTTTTCAGTACATGGAATCCCAATTTTGTACAGATCTGCACTATCTTAGAGCTGGTAAAACTTTTGCAGTTATAAAATTATTACTTACCTTCTCAAGAAAAATCCAGCATTATATGGTAAGTCTCACATTAAATGCTTTGATCAATCATTGCTCAATCTTTCCCTTTCCAGTATGGGAGCATTGCAGCACATGGATATAAGAAATGTGCTATAAATGTTAATAATAAAACTTCATAGCTACACTCTGTTCCAACCAACATGAATAAGGAAAACCTGACATATACCTTCACTCGAGCCTAGCTTGTACTTCTGCTTAACAGTGTTTCAAGAATCTTTTGTATCGAGTTCACAACTATGTCATCGTTGGGCTATTAATATTGGAGCTAAGTCATGTTTTATTTGTGTGCCAAGTATGTTACTCAAATATCTTCTAGTAATAAGACCAAATGGTGCAATAACACTGAGCAATTTAGTTAAAGATTTTACATTTGAGTGGAAATGTGATTCAATTTACCAAATGGTGCAATAACACTGAGCAATTTAGTTAAAGATTTTACAATTTAACACAAAGAAACACGCCAAAGATTTCATTCATCATGTGATTCAATTTTACATTTGAGTTGTACCCCAAATGGCCTGCATAACCTACAATTACAATTTGACCTAGTCTCACCCGTGGAAGAATACTGATACAAGATAAACAGAAAAATGCGTACTTAACATATGATCTATCAATCTCTCACTTTATAGTGAAAATGTCACTGGTATATAGAAACAGGAGGATACTTGAACTTGTCCGAGATGAATGGTATTACCTGTGGTCTCTCTACCAAATCACGGTAGAAATCATACTCTGCATCATAGTCATGTAACTTCAGCTCAGCCCTCTGATTTGTATGATAATGATGCTTAGCTGAAGAGGATTTGCCGAATCCAAAAACACTAACCTTGTCACAAACACCTAGAGCAAGCATCACAGCTTGCAAACCAGAAGAGTAATGGAAATTAGCTCCATCATGAGCAGGAGCCCATTCCTGAAGAGGCTTCCCAGTTCCCTCCACGAATCGTTTCAACGAGTAATACTTCACAATCCTAGCACACAACATGTCAAAGCGCGGATCAGTGACAATTAATGGCGCTTTATGTGAAGAATTACACACCATGTAATCCAAGAAATGCACAGGCTGACATACATACATAACTAAGGCCACATTCACTCCATATGGATGGCAAAAACAACCTTCCCTCCGCGCACAAAGATGCAAGATATTACTATTCACAAATGAAAGAGTAGTCTTTGAACCTACTATACCTTCAAATCCCCCAGTTCTTGCATTGTTCAATCGAATCACAGCTTCGTGACTATCAATTAACTCACCATACTGACTCTTCAACAAAATCCCACTATTCCCTACAACAGCACATGATTTATATCTTTTCTCTGATCCCACTTTCCCATTATTTCTATCAATAGGAACCTTAACTGTATTCACCAAATCCACCATTACATCCTCCTTATGAAACTTCCTATTTCTAAACCAATCTTGTAAATGCCTCCTAAAACTCTGCCAAATGCGATAAAACTCCGGTGACCGGAGTTGTACCGGTATACCTCTAGCTGTCCTTGGTCTTATATCTATTCTATATCTTCCTGAAGACAAGAATGATCTATGACGACTATGGGTTCTGAAATTCCCTTCCAATAACTCCTCAACTTCTTTTTTCAACTTGGGTTCCCCTATATCAACAGATGCATATTTCAAAAGTGTCTCATTTATAACTGGTTTTTGAGCCTTTGCTGCAAAAGGGTATTCATTTTTCAGCTCAATGGAGCTGTAACGTATGGTAACTCGAACAGCAAGTGTAGCTGCCACTGCCATTAGCAGTAATACACTGAGCAATGGTCGCATTGTCCGTTTCATCATTCCCAAAATGACATAACCAAATAAGAAATACCAAAAAAGACCTGATTTTTAAGCTGGGAATAAAATGTTAAAGATTGTAGTAGCTGCAAATAATGTGTAAAGGTCTAGAAGAAATTAAGAGATTTCGATTTTGGTTCATATTGGGAAGTGGTAGAAAAATCAAGAAAATGTTTTTGCACATGAGTCAACTAGTCTTAAGGGGAAAGTATATTAATGAGGATTTATGAGGTTTTAAATAGAATGATAGATCTGGGACTTCCAAGAGATTTGAGTGGTTGGGTGGTCAGCTTCAAGAGAGAGGGGTGAGGGTGAGGGTGAGGGTGAGGGTGAGGGCGAGGGTGGGGGTGGGGGGAGAACCCTAAAAAGTGGAGGAGTGAGCTGAGGGGAAAGTAGGCAAGAAGATGCTGATATATTTTGGAAACTGAACTTCAGTAACCATGGAGTTTGGGTTTTAATTACAACTGTTATGGGTTTCAGGGGTTTTAAATTTGTTTATTAATTTTAGTTTCACTTATTTAAGACGTTAATTACTCCTATTCCTCCTATCCATTTTAATTAATTTTTTTGTTATTCTCACGCATATTAAGAATACATCTTTTTAATATTAATTAATAATAAAATCGACTATATTAATTTTAATTTATTCATTAAAAATATAATAAATATTCTTATGGCAACTTTGAAAAAAAATAATATTTTTAATATTTAAAATATTAAATATTATAGATTATAAAAAGAAGGTCAAAAATTAATTAAAGTAGATCGGAGAATAAGTATACCTTATGAGAATGACGCAGTTCGTGGAGAGGCACCATTTGTTCACAAGCTTTTAATTCAACTACTCGTCCAGTAGAATATTGTTTTCATTTCGAGACCTCTGAAAATGTTTCCCACTATTCTATCATAATGTTATTCCGTGCATTTTAATGGAGTACCTTTTAACAATTCTAATTTATGTGATTAATCAAAATTTATAGTTTTAAACTATGATGTGATATTTTTCTATCAAACGATTATGATAATAATAGAGATTGAGACTGAGAAGTCTTGTTATCAACGGCGGAGACACCCTTTGGTGTCTCATCTGACACCATTTCGCAAAATGCATTCATCACTAAATATATGTGTAAGTAATATTTTATATTAAAAAAAATATACAAATATATAATAGACCAACACCACTTAGAAAAATAGTACTAATAAACATTCTTTTTGTCCCATTTTAATTGTCGGTTCAGTTTTTTTCACGCCCACTAAAAAAAGTACAAAATATAATTTATTAAGTTTACCCTGTTAAATGCTTTTCACGAATTATATAGTATTAAAAAGAACTAGTACTATTCTTTAATATTAAGAGTATAGTTGAAAAATGATTAACAAATTTAATCTTTGAATTTCTAAGTGATAGTTATTTTCGAATATATTTTTTGAGCTAAAGTGACTGTGAAGGGGGGCATCAATTTGAAACAAGAATAAAAACATTTTTACTTTTACCACTTCAAACCGCATTTCATATCGAATTACATATAGGTCGATATTACTTGTACATAATCTTGCGCCACAACTTGTTACTTGGAGTTTTTAGAATTTAACTACACAAACAGATGTATCTAGATTATGCTTTCCCGAGTCGAAGGTTTGTCAGAAGTAGTCTATCTACCTTCATAAGGTAAGAGTAAGGTTACGCACATACTATCCTTCCTAAACTTACCTGTGAGATTACACAGAATTTTTTGATGTTATAAACAGACGATCATACGCAAACGTCATGACTAATATACTATTACCATCTATCTAATGATATTATTCTACAACCTCTCAGTTTCAGGTATACATGGCCGGATATGATAAACTATTACCATCTTGTCGAGGAAAAACTATTAAAACAATGAATATATAAAAATAATAAATTGAAGACGGCAAGTTGGGGGTGTCCATGTTGTGGCTGGATTTGGCGTCATAATACATGATATGGTGAAATCAACTTCTTGTTTCTTTCCAAGGCATGAAATTGAAAAGAAGAATATATAAATTTAATTTTCCTCATTTTGGAAATTGTAGGCTTCACTAAATTCACGTTACACCAAAGACCAAGGAATGCAGGTTAGGATCTTAGTACTCAGTGTTTACTAAGTAATATGGAGTTCCTTTTCTATCCTCAATTAATACTATCTTCTAGTACTATTAACCCTGGTATTCTATATAAACTTTTTCATTATAGGGAGTAGGGGTGTACATGGACCTGGTTAGTTCGATTTTTATCAAAACCAAACCAAATTAACTATATCGGTTTGGATTGGTGCGGTTTTGTCTAGTTTTTCGAGATTTTTGTTACTTAAATATTATTTTAATCTTACTTTGTTAAATTTTTTATAAGAAAATATATATTTAATAAGAATTTAAAAATTGACAAACATATTATCTATTAAAATATCTTATGGAAGAAATTAGTAACACATGATAGTTATTTTTTTAGTCGTCCAACAATAATTTTTCGTTGATGTACACCTTCAAGGTTAACCGAATTTAGTAATTAAACATAAAAATTAATATGATATCTAAATAATAATAACCACTTCAAATTCGAAAAAGATATTAGAATTTAATAGATCTTGACATATGAATATATGTAAGAAAAAAGAGATTGACGAATTTCAGTAACGCTTAATAAGAAAGTGATCATACAACCTATTATTTAAGGTTAATAAATATGAAGCACTTCATATTCTATTAGATATTCTATCCTGTAAGAGAATCCCAGATATTTCTAGACATTTTTTAAAGGAAATTTTATATAAAATCTTAAAAGTATATATAAAAATTATATATTTATATGTCGGTTTGGTTCTGGTTTTTTTACTCAAAACCAAACCCAGACGGACTTTTTAATCGGTTTGGTTTGACTTTTCGATTTAGTGAATTTTTTCGGTTCGATTTGTGCACCCATAATCGAGAGTAATTTGAGAAAAATATTAAATACTATTTTGTTTCCTATTGTCGCCTAAGTTTTTTTTCTGGTTAACTTGTTTAGCTAAGCTTTTAAAATCAGCTTATTTTAAAAAATATTTTCTCAAAAGTCCTTTTCAAAATAAGTACTTTTGGCGAGAAGCAATTTGTGTTTGACTAAGCAGTTTGAAAAACACTTTTGAGCAATAATTAGTATTTGGCCAAAATTTTAAAATGTGATCCTAAGAGCCTGTTTGACCAAGCATCTAGGAAGCCAAAAGTATTTTTTTGCTTCAGAAAAAACACTTTTTTATAATAAAAAATTGAGGTATTTGGCCAAAACAGAGAAGTGCTTTTGAGCGGCAGCAAAAGTAGTTTTTCTGCTTTGGGGAAGAAGCTATAAATTCTAGCTTCTTTGAAGAAGTAGAGCAGAAAATTAATGTTATTCAAGAAAAAATATCCTTACTGTAAAGTGTTTATAAGCACTTTTTGACTTATCTACGAATTTGGTAAAATTGAAAGTGCTTATAAGTTAAGTGTTTATAAGCCAAAAATAAGCCAAAAGCCATAAGTTGGTCTTCCCCAACTTATCAAATTTCAACTTATAAGCACTTTAAATTTGATCAAAATATTTACTATTCTATCCCTAAAATACTTCTTTTTGAAACAAAACTTTTCTATAGTTTTACTCTATCCCAGTTCTTCAAAACCCAAACAGCCGTTGCCTCTCCAGTCGTGCCATTGCTTCCTCTGCTACGTGGAATTCCCTTCTTTCGTTCTTCTCTGCAACTATCAGACAAATTGCAGGTAATTTTTTATGTTTTAAACACTCATCAAGATAGTTTACAAATCCTCCTACGTGCTTCTATCAAGATATGTTTATCTCTATCAAGATATGTTTTCATCCTCCTACGTGCTTCTGGACTAATCAACAATTAAATAACAATGAATACAAATCAAGGTAATTCACACGAATCACATCACGTCATTCACCAAACTTAACGTCGCAACAAGTCAATAATTTATAAAATTTACCACTCATCAACATTTAAAACAGAAATAAGCTATGTTAGATATGACATACAGTTGTGTTATATTTTTAAGCAACTTTGAAAAATTATATATATAGTCAAAGATGATGATTAAATACAAACAAATCAGATATCATTAATGTTATGATCAATAATTATCTTGAAAAATACAAAAGGTAATTTGTAAATTTTTATTGCCACCTAAATCACATACCAGCAAGAATGAAGTAAGGCCTCCTTTTGTATCCTCTAATGGGAAAGTATCAGTTAAAAGGACCCAAAGAGGCTTCACAGTCCAAGGAAGTTGAATTTATTTTGTAATACGTATTAACTTCTTGTATGTTTTTTTTTTCTCATGACTTCTTGTTTAGAGTTTAGTATATTCTGATTTATGTTATAAGGAGGTAGGCAACACGTATCCCCTCCTTCATGCATTGATGAAGACCAGCAAACACATTTTGGATGTAATACGAAAGATACCTAGTTGTACATAAAGTTTTTTGTTTGTGAAATCTATTCACGGTCACAACTCATGAGGAGAAAGAAGGAGCCGAGTAGAAACATAAATTTATTGGAAGCTACAACCCTCTGAAGCTCAAATATAACAAAACATGCTTTCTCTTGTTTTGTTAGTCACTAGAAGTTTAAGACAGTTGGTCTTATTATAATATTTAATATTATTTCTTCTGCAAAATTATGTGACATACAAAAATAAGAAGGTGTTCTTTTGAACTTTGTTTATTTTGACTTGTGCATAAATATTATTATATGTATACGTTTATAGCTAAATCTTGTAATCTTTTTAGATTGTTAACGTTCAATTAAGGGGGAACGACATAATGCTAAGTGGGACGAATTTGCACGTGTTAAATCCATTGAATTGTGTGAGCAAGAAGTTAGAAAAGGAAATAGGCCAAACACTTATTTAAAGATGGATGGAAGAATATGGTAAATAAGTTCAATAAGAAGACGAGACTAGAATATACTAGAAAACAAATGAAAAATCATTGGGATCACATGAAAGCAAAGTGGACTCTTCTTAAGCAGTTGATGAGAGGTGAGACAGGTTTAGAATGGGATCCCACAAGAAAAATAATTATTGCAGATGATGATTGTTGGGAGCAAAAAATTAAGATACATTGCTTGTCCTTTTCTATAATTATTTCGTAACTCTATAAATTGTTAGTTTCATTTGTTTGCTTAGAGTAAGATCAAGATGATTATGGAACAAATGATGTTTATGATAATGACATAGAACAGTGGAATGATGAAAAAGGTGATGAAAGTCATGACTTGCAGAATATGGATTCAATTACGTTTCCTGAGCCATCGCTTAGAAAGCGAAAGTCAAAAGATGGCAGTAGCAGTAGCAGTCAAGTGAAAAAGCGCAAGACAAAAAATAATTTATTATCACTAAAAGAGGAGATACACTCTCTAAT